TGGCTGGCTCCACGGGTCCCCAGTGTGATGCTCTGTCTGGCCAATGCCCCTGCAAAGAAGGGTTTGGAGGGCGGAGCTGCGATCAGTGTTCCTTGGGTTACCGGAAGTTTCCTGACTGCGTCCCCTGTGACTGCGACCTGAGGGGGACACTGGCCGACACCTGTGACCTGGAACAGGGTCTCTGCAGCTGCACAGGGGACAGTGGCACCTGCTCCTGCAAGGTACGTGTCCTGGACCCTCCAGCCTCTGTTTCCTTCCCGTGGCCGCCTCATTGCCACTCCTGAGCTTCTGCCCATTTTCATTAGATTCTAGTGACTAGAAGTGTGGTGTCAAGTACTTCCTCCAACAGTTCCATACTTTGATATCCGATGTTAGAGTCTCCATGTTCTCTCCTGAAATGATGGAAGATTCTTAGAATGGAGTTTTTACTACTTCTACGCGTCTGGTGCCCAAACTCCTCTGAACACAGCTTTCTAGGATGCATCCATGGGCTGAGTAGTCAGTCTTTCTTGAAGAAATAAAGTTGTTAGGGCTTTCAGGAAGATTTGGGATTTTTTATAGCTGTGCTCTTGGACAATAATTATTATATATGCACGCTAAAGTAAAGGGAAATTGTGTACAATATTTGCCCACAAGGTAAGAGTTGAACGTTATTGAATTGCACATATGTCCATTGGTTTTTTCCCAACATGCTTTGCTGCCAGGCTATTGCCACCTTCTCTGGTCCTCTCTGCAAACAGGATGAGGAGGCAGCCTGATGGCGGTGGTTGGTGTGGGGTTAGAAGTGATAAAGGAAAGAGTCACCGTGGCACATTTTGGAAGTGTCTTCCCATATACGCTATCACTCCGGTCAGTCAGAATGGCAAGGACCTGGATTGTTTTTCCTTAGCCTGGGGCTCCACCCGGAGGCTGTCAGAATCAGCTGGAGACCATGGGAGATTCACATTAGGGAATGTGTGACTTCCAGCCCCTCCCACCATAGTTTTGATCCTCAGTCTCACTTGGGGAGCTCTGGTGTGGAAAAGCAAACTTCAGTTAGAGACGTGGCCACGGAAGATTGAGTTTAGCGATGCTTGTAAGTCAGTGTTTTTTTATTAGTTTGTCTCTGTGTATATAAAAGATCACATCTCTTCTTTTTATTTATTTTTTTATTTTTTCCCCCACCTTTAGGAGAACGTCCTGGGGCTCCAGTGCAGCGAGTGCCGGCCTGGTACCTTTGCCCTGCAAATTGACAACCCCCTAGGCTGCAGGTCCTGCTTCTGCTCGGGTCTGTCGCAGCTCTGCTCGGAGTTGGAGGGTTATGTGAGGGCTCTGGTAAGTCACATACACACAGCAGAAAGGGTTTTAGCCCTCACTTGCCTCTGGGAGTCAGGTGGACCTTGAGAGGGAGCAGACTCAGAAATTGTAGGGTAGTGATTTGCTTGGTATAAGGTCAGAGCATTCCGAGCATTTCTGCCGTCCAGTGACAGAAACAGCTGGCGGCTTTCTGTGCCCACCTTCAGCTGACCCATTGAAAGCTTTTCTTGGAAAGAAACAACTGCAGCATCTCCACATGTACCTCCTGTCACTGATGGTTGCTCAGAGATGACAATAGCTTGAACCTAATCATAGCACTTCAGGCCATGGTGATCCAGACGTACAATCTACAGGAACAGTCTTTACTTCTCTGCCCTAAAATGAAACCACTTGTGTGTGTGTGTGTGTGTGTGTGTGTGTGTGTGTGTGTGTGTGTGTGGTGTGCTGCACATTTGTGTGTGCAGAAGCTTCCAGGAGGATACTGAATAAACCTGCTCTGTGACTCTCCACTCTATCCCCTGGAGCCTGGGTCTTCCATTAAACCTGGAGTTGGCTAGCAACTTGCAAGCCACAGCTATCCTCCTTTCTCTGTTCCCCTGTAGCAATGGGGTTACAGGTACACATGCAGCCTGACCTGGTGTTTTACATGAGTGTTGGTGCTCCTGGGTCCTAAGGCCTACCTAGTCAGTGCTGTTACTCACTGAGTTACTTTACCGGTACTTAACCTGAAGCGCGCCATTCTCTTTCCCATGCCTAGATAACGCTGGCCTCCGATCAGCCCCTGCTGCATGTGGTCTCACAGAGCAACCTCAAGGGCACCATTGAAGGTGTGCATTTCCAGGCCCCTGACACCTTGCTGGATGCGGAGGCTGTCCGCCAGCACATCCATGCAGAGCCATTTTACTGGCGGCTACCAAAGCAGTTCGAGGGAGATCAGGTGAGCACACACCAGCCTCGCCCACTCCCTTCCCAGAGAGAAAATCAGAGTGTGCTACCTCTGCCCATCATTAAAGGACGTGGCTACTTAATTGCTTTTTTGAGTGAGGGTGGAGACATTCTCCTGCCCACCATTAAAGGACACAATTGCTTAATCACTCTTTTGAGTGAGGGTGAAGATATTCAGTGCTTATAAAAATCCCTGCAAAGGTTTGGCTCTTCAATTTTTTGATTTTTAAGTCCTTTACAATTTCCTTAATTCACATTTTTTTCTCCTTTCTAAAACAATAATTCAGGAAGTCTATACTGTAGTTCCTAGTAGCAGCTGAATGTAATTCTCAATGCTAGGTCAGCCCTGGGGAGCTCTTCTAGAGGAAGCAATGGTTGGTTGGTGAGCATCCTCCTATGAAAGGGCACTAGAAGGCTCTGCGAGACCTTCCTTGTCTTTCACTCCGATTTTTGGATCACTCTGGTTTTTCTGGGATAGGGTTCAGTGTGTTAGTCCAGGCTAGCCTCAAATTTTTCATTCTCCTGCCTCACTGTCCTGAGTGCTAGGATAACTGATCTTTTCTACTATTCAGGCTCACTTCAATCTAGAAATTTACCCCAGTGGTCATATGGATATGGATAATTTTAATTCAAAGGAGCCTGAAAGTAATTAGAATCCTTGTCATGCTGGTTGTGTCTCCTGATACTATCTTTGGTGGAATCACTGAGAAGCGTAGCTTCAGTCTATCTCCTAGACCATTAATAAGCAGGTTAGAAGGAGGCTGGTCCCAGATCACATTTTTTTTTGTTTTGTTTTGTTTTGTTTTTGTTTTTCTAGATAGAGTTTCTCTGTGTAGCTTTGGAGCCTGGAGCCTGTCTTGGAATTCTCTCTGTAGCCCAGGCTTGCCTTGAACTCATAGAGATCCACCTGCCTCTGCCTTCCGAGAGCTGGAATTAAAGGCATATGCCAAGGCCACCTGGCCCTGAACACATATTTGTAATGAGATACATTGTAACGTGTAATGCCTTTTGTATAATGGCAAACTTTGTATAAAACATCTTTACACCAAGTCTGCATCACAGGAATAATACCAGTGTGTCATTTGTTAGCTCCTGGCCTACAGTGGGAAACTGAGGTACAGCGTGGCCTTCTACTCTACCCGAGGCACCGGCACATCCAATTATGAGCCTCAAGTTCTCATCAAAGGAGGTCGGGCCAGGAAGCACGTCATTTATATGGATGCCCCAGCGCCAGAGAACGGAGTGAGACAGGATTATGAAGTGGAAATGAAAGAGGTGATGTGTGATTGTTCTGCATATGTTCCTTAAGGATGTGAACTTTGCCGTCAGGGTAACAAAAGTCTAGAGCTAAATAAAAGAGACTGCAAGGTGACCCTGGGGTCTGACCTCCAAAGGGCTTATCCAGAGTTCTAAGAGTGATTCACATTTCAAGGCCTCATGAAAGGCACACTGCAGTAGTCGTCCCTTACCCACAGCCTTGCTGTCCACAGTTTTGGGTATTCAAGTTCAACCAAAGTCCAGATATATTAAATGGAAAATTCTAGAAACAATCCTCTCAAGCTTTACATTGTAGACTCTTCCGAGTCACATGATGAAATCATACATCTTTCTGCTCTGTCCTGCCTAAGGTGTGTCTCATCCCTTTATCTGGTGCCTGCCTGTTAGGTTACAGCAGATCTTTGTCAGTTCATGAACCACCCTGAGTAGGGCTGATATCTGAAGTTGCTTATGAATGAACTGCCTGTGTTCTCTTTTTAAGGCTGTACATCTTGTGACCATTTGAACTCTGAATTTAACTGGATACATTTCTCATCTACAGGAGTCTTGGAAATACTTTAACTCTGTGTCTGAAAAACATGTTACGCACTCGGATTTTATGTCTGTACTTAGCAATATTGAATATATCCTCATCAAGGCATCGTATGGTCAAGGATTACAGCAGAGCAGGTACTTGGAAACCTCTAGATCAGTGGTTCTCAACCTTCTCAATACTGCAACCTTTTAATACAGTTCCTCATGTTGTAGTGACCCCCAACCATGGCATTATTTTCATTGCTACTTCATAATTTTGCTACTGTTATGAATCGTAATATAAATATCTGTCTTTTCCAATGGTCTTAGGTGACCCCTGTGAGAAGGTCATTCAACCCTCCCGAAGGGGTCGGGACCCACAGGTTAAGAACTGCCACTCTAGAGCTTTGAATATTTTCATTGTTTGATGCAGAATTGGAAGATGTGTCCCCTCACTCTAACTCCCTACATATTTATTAATAGCCTTATCTCTAGTCCTTAGCAAAACCTTGTTAAATATTAACAGCTTGTTAGTCAGCTTTTCAGTGCTGTAACAAAACACCCGAGACAGACAGTTTCGAAGGCGGAAAGGTGCATTTGGGTTCTACATTAGTTGTTTTCCTGTTGGGGGTGATAAACACTGTGGCCCAAAGAAACTTAAAGAAGGAAATAGTTGATTTTGGATTATGGTTCCAGAGGACCAGATGTCCATAACAGCAGGGAAGTCACCCCCAGTGCTGTGCTCCCCCGCAGCAAGTCTGTACCCCTGAAAGGTTCCATATGTTCCCCAAACAGTGCCACCAACAAGGGGCCAGGTGTTCAGTTACACAAGCCTGGGGGGCGCATTTCTTAGCCAAACCCCAACAGGTTCACAGTTCAAGACATTTGAGTCTGTGCTTGGCTGTCTCTGCCAGACTCAAGCTGCTTACCACAGAGCAAGCAGGAAGTGGAGAGCAAGTGAGGGAGGTCTGAGAACAAACTATTCCCCCTCAAAGGCACGCCTTCAGATGGGGACCATGTGATGTATACACGAACTTTCTGGAGGGGGGCATTCCACCCAGACTATCAGAGTATAATTACGGAATTATGTGAACTACAGATTATCCACCTGGCATGGTAGCAAGGCTTAACAGAAGTGCAACATGGTGGAATCTTGGAAGAAATGAAATACTTTTTATAAAGACTACTCAGACCCCTGAAAGCCACACTGTCTTTGTGTGTGGGGGGGTGGGGGGGTAGCCATGTCTAAGGGTATTGCCACCTTCTCATCTAATAGCCCATGAGGAAATATGTTCAGTGCTGGGCAGCGCAGTTTTGGCAAGTTTTGAAGATGTTCAGGCCCTGACATGCTGGCTGTGGCCTTTTCTGTAACCACACACTCCTGTGTGCTAACAACGTACTTTGCAGTTGTGAGCAGAACTCCACGTGACAGGTCTCAGGCTCCATACAAATGCAAATGGTCAACCATGTGCCGTGTTTCTGGAAGTTTCTCACATGTTAATGCTGCTTCTCCTACTTCTTTTCCCCAATGGTGGCTCAGGATTGCCAACATCTCCATGGAGGTTGGCAGGAAGGCTGGAGAACTGCCCTCTGGGGGAGAGGCAGCGTCCCTGTTGGAGCACTGTGTCTGCCCTCCTGGTACCGCTGGATTCTCCTGTCAGGTAGGGAGCCTTCAATTCACACTGGTTTCCTGGGTGTAGTGTGTTCACCAACGGCAATCCCGCATGGGAACAGAATACATGAGCATCTATAGCATCACTTTCGATCGCTTTTTGAATTAAAAAAAAAATTGTTAGTTTTTGTTTAAATATACATAAATTCAGATTTATTGTCTCCACCTACTTTTAAGTGTGGAGGTCAACAGTATCAAGTGTGTTCATATGGTTCTGAGGATAGACTTGTTCTCCAGAACATTCTTTCTCTTACCAGACCGAAACTGCATCTGTCCAGCTACCCCCCCTCCACCCCTCCTTTCCCTCCAGCCCCTCATCTGCTGTTCTGTTCTCTGCCTGACTCTGACTGCTCCTAGTTCCCCATATGAGTGGAATCCGGCAGTATATTTACTTTTGTGACTTCCCTTTTTACTTAGCACATATTTAATACACGCTGGAGTCTCTTCCTCTTTAAGGCTGAATACTAGTCCGTCATTTGGATATGTTCATTTCTCTATGGGGATGTGGGTTGCTTTTGTGAATAGTGCTGTGAGGAAGGGATTGTGAATGTCTCTTCTAGTTCCTCCACGTCGTTCTCCTGAATCCACCAGACGCAGATTTGTTAGTCGTGGCTAGTGTCGTTTTTAATTTTGGAGGACTGTGCACACTGTCTTTCCTCCATACCAGCTCTGCACAAGAACTCCACACTTTATTTACATCTTCAACGCTTGTTCTGCTTTGCTGTTTGGATGGGAGGCATTGGTTTTGTGAAGGGCTAGGGACTTTTGTTTTTGTTGGTTGGAGTGTTTTGAGACAGTGTTCTGCTCTGCAGCCTAGGCTAGCTTGAAACTCACTCTGGAGCTTAGGCTGGACTGTAATTCACAGGAGCCCTTCTGCCTCAGTTTCTCCACAGCTGGGATCATGGGTAAAAGCCACCATGCTCTATTGGTTTAAATATTGAGGCCACTCCACGTAGTTAAAAGGGAGGTTTATTTTGTGGGGTAACTTACAAGTGAAGGGATAGTTTGCAGGGTCTCGGAAAGGTGTGGTGCAGTTGGGCGGTGTTCTCTGGAGAACTCTGCTCGGTCTACCTCCAGCGTCCAGGGTCCAGGAACCAAGTGTGCCAGCCCATCTGGATCTCGGGTCTTCAGGGTCCTCTCTTGGCTCTGCCTTGTAGGTGTGACAGTTACTAAAGCCTCAGTGGGGGTTGGAACTTCCAGGTCAAACCTGGAAAGGCTACCCACTACATCACTCAGCTCTTAGTGTGGATATGGTTTGTATTTCTTCCTGATAATGGTGTTGAGTGTTCTCATGACCTTGTTAGCCACCTGTCTTTGCTGGGGAAGGACATTTATCCTGTGCCCGGATTTTAATCAATGTCTACTTTCTTGTCCCTTCTGCCTCCCTTTAGGATTGTGCTCCCGGGTACCACAGAGGGAAGCTCCCAGAAAGTGGTGGCCGGGGACCCCGCCCTCTGATAGCTCCTTGTGTGCCCTGTAGTTGCAACAACCACAGTGACATCTGTGACCCCGAAACTGGGAAGTGCCTGGTACGTTTGCTTGTGTGGGAACTGACCTAAGTTTACACTAAATTATCACTGTGACGTGAAAGAAGACCAGGAACCAGGGAGGTCCTCCAGCAGGTCCTTGCCACGTGGCTGCCGCCATCTCTGTCTAGAAGACGCTGGAGCCTCCTCACATCACTGGGAAACTGGCAGGTTTTGTTTCTACATCTCCCTTAGCAACTGATGCCCCCTCACTCTAGTCTTTAGTTTCTCTGCTACTCCATAGGGTAGCTCATGTGTTGGATGGCAGCCCCAGGAAGCTAGCATCCATTGTCTTTTAGGGCAAGTGTTTCCCCATCAACAGGGACAAGGTCTAGAGCTGTTTCCATCCTCTCTCCTCATCTAGTACTTGGACCTTGTCTGTGTCATGCTATGTTGATGGAACAAGTATTTATTACAATTTATTTTCGAAGAGATGGCAAATAGTCCTTCTGAAGGGAGACCCATTTGAGAGGTCACGTGGATCCTAATACAACTCATCTTTATCAGTTGAAATAGGAATAAACTTTTTAAATGAAAATGCTCAAACATTTTCTAGTTGAAAAGTGCCTGTAAAACTAGTTTTTAAAATATTCATATGGCAGCGATGTCTTGTCTGTCCTTTCTTGCTGCCACGGCACAAGGCAGAGCGAGGGGGGTGGGCTGCTCAGGGACTCCACGCTTCGCTGTCACCCTTCCTCAGCTCTGCATCGTATGCAGAGCCCTGTGCACAGGGCCAAGCAAATAGTGAAGATCTGCACAGAAGAGATTTTCAGTAGAACCCGTAATAAGAACCACTTGCACTTGGAGCTTAAAAATGCATCTGATACTCTTTTTTGGTAATAGGAAGCTCGCTGGTTCCGCTAATGACGTAAAATTCCAGCTGATGTTCATTTGGTTGTTACAAGAATCTGTTGGTGGCGCTCTGTGACCACGACCAATCCTTCCTGGATTGCGGTTGCCTGCCCATGCTTTTCTGCCACGGCATCTCTCTGCGTGTGGATATCGAATCCTGGAGTAGTTACTTTTCTGTGGCTGGCATGAAACGGAAGGAGGACTTTATTTTGATTTTCAGTTCCAGAGGGGGAGCCCACAAGGCAAAGAAGTCACGGCCATGGGTGGCCAGAGCAGAAAGCTGAGGGGTCACATGCCAGTGTATACAGGAAGCAGAGAGTGAACTGGAAATGGGGCGATTCTGTAAACTCTCAAAGGCCGCCCCCCTTGACTTGTTTCCTCCAGCAAGGCTCCATGTTCTAACTTCCCTCAAGCATCACCACCAGCTGGGGACAGATGGCCAAATGCGTGAGACTTTTCTCGTATAAACCACACAAAGCCCTCACAGACACACAAACTGTTGGGTCTCCATCTAGTTCCGATCTGTATTTTAAGGATCTAGGTCCTGACTGCTTTTGGTGTCCTGGGTCTGTTTTCCTCCAGTAGAATGTATTAACAGTCTCTAGGCTTATGTAGCCTTATGTTGAATGAAGGCCACAGGTCTGGAAAAGCCTCCAGCGTTCTAGGAAATAATCAAGAAAAATGCCCCGTCTTCCTTAAGCATTAACGAACACCTAGCTGACATGAAACACAGTTGTTTATACAGCTGTTACCCGTGAGAATCCTGTCTGACCGTTTCCCATTGCCTCTCTCTTCCATTGAACTGTGGACCTCCAGAACTGCCGCGACCACACGGCTGGTGACCACTGTGAGATGTGTGCCCCCGGCTACTATGGGAAGGTGATTGGGTTGCCTGGAGATTGCACCCCGTGTACCTGTCCTCACCGCCCCCCTTTCAGGTAAAGCCTGTCTGACACACCACCAGCTTCCATTCCTGCGCTCGCTTTCCAGGGCCTCTGAATGCTCTCCATTAATGTCATCCCTGTCGGGAGATAGATAAGCCAATGTCAAGGAAAAGTGCACGTCCTCAAGGTGTTTGAGCAGGATCTTTTTCTTTTTCTTTTCTTTGGTTTTTCATGACAGGGTTTCTTTGCATAGCTTTGTGCCTTTCCTGGAACTCACTCCTCCTCCCAGGCTGGCCTCAAACTCACGGAGATCCACCTGGGATTAAAGGCATGCGCCACCACCGCCTGGCTGCCAGGATCTTTTCAAAAGGAAAGCATCATGTGGGTCTTGATTGTTGGCATGGAACTAATTTAAATAATAATAATAATAATAATAATAATAAGCTTTTGGGAATTTTCAAGACTAATTTTAGCTCCCAGATATGTAATCCAGTTCGTATTCAATGTAAGGGAATAGGGGTTGATTCTGTATACATATACCTCACACAAGCACTGAGAAAAGATACATGATGTTTATTTGTCAGTTAATAATTTATGTGGTGGCCATGGAACTGCCCATGCTGTGGAATAGGTAATGTGGCACCATTCTGGAAAAGATAATATCTATATGTATATTCCACATCTGTGGCTTTTGGCCATGTGTACCCAGAGAAGTGTGTGCATGACTGTTTTACCATGCACTTTGTGTTTTTCCATACTGTTGAGTAACACTTTATTTCTTCCATCAAATAAGGTTAACCATCCCTCAAGCCCTTAGTCATGACCTGTGAGGCCACAGATTGCTTGGTTCGTCTCATACGTATTTGTATTTCCTTGAAGTCTGCCTCATTATTTAAGGAGCGAGATGTTAGAAGTGGTGCAGAGCTGGTAACTCATGCTGTGGACACCCAGCTTCCTCCCCTGCAAGAAACCAGACCTGATTTCCCACTTGGTTTGGGTCAGGTTTCTGTGGTCTGCAGTTACCCACCTCAGCCTCCAGGTGGCGCCAGAGCAGTTCATCACGAGGAGGCAGAGGGTGGGGCCAAGGAGGGACTAGCCCAGAGCTCCATCTGGGTAGTGACATCAGTTTACTTCTGCTGGTCTATCAGGTGACCGTCAGTCCTGTCTCCGTGTTCCTGCAGAGTAGCTTTTCTGCGGCTTGTCCTATGCACGTCATCACAGCCTGTGGAACTGTCCTAACCAGCAGCGTTCAGTCTTCCTGTTCTCCGCGCTTTATCAACTCTATTATTATCTATCATTATCTAAAAAATATGGCAGCTCCTCTCTCAGAATAAGACCCCCTTTGATTTGGAAAGTTCTTGGGTAGCTAGTTACATTCTGTGAGACTGATCGACTTAGCACTCACCGGCGGCCACCTTGCAGCGAAGGCCTTTTCAAATGATGGATAAAAATTGCCCTCAGGCTTCTTTACCTTCTGTTCCACAGATTTCAGCTCTAGCAGCTTATCTAACTACCCTGTATAATCACTTAACGTTTAGAACAGTGATGGTGAATAAATACTTTGAGGAAGATTTGAAGCTAATGTCTGAAATCTTCTGTTAAATTTTTTTTTCTTTCAGTTTCAGCCCCACTTGTGTTTTGGAAGGTGACAATGACTTCCGGTGTGATGCCTGCATCCCTGGCTATGAGGGACAGTACTGTGAAAGGTATACCACTGAACTGTCACAAGGAAGCAAATATCATATGTTATATATTATACTATGTAGGATGTAGTTACGACAGTGATCTGGGAGTCGCTACCAATTTGTACCTTTGTACAGATGTGGGGGGCACATTGATATCCCATAGCAAGGTCTCCTAAGGTAAGTGTGTGCTCTGCATTTTCCTTTGGCAAAAAGGACGATGACTGCCTCTGGGCAGAGCTGGTGTATGTATTCCTGGTTGGTACAGACTGCTCTGTCTATACCTACGATCCTCTTCTTTGTAGGTGCTCCGTGGGCTATCATGGCAACCCTCGAGCAGCAGGTGGCAGCTGTCAGAAGTGTGACTGTAACCCCCAAGGCTCTGTCCACAGTGACTGTGACCGAGCGTCTGGGCAGTGTGTCTGCAAGCCAGGAACCACGGGGCTCCGCTGTGAGGAATGCCTGCCAAGACACATCTTGGTGGAGAGCGACTGTGTTTGTAGGTGATTCTCCTGTATGTGTCTCAAGTTGGGTTTTCCTGCTGACCCGGCTATGACACCCACAGGGTCGGTGGGGTACCACGAATCTCACTGTACTTCATATTTTATTACATTTTCTCGATGTACATTGCTTCTGAATCTACTGAATTGAACCTTTAGTGGTGCACGAATAAGCCAAGACGACTTTGATTGTGGTAGGGTCTTGTGATACAGTCCGGGCTGGCTTCAGGCATCACAGTTCTGCCTCACTTTCCCATGTATGGACTGGGATTACAAAACATGTAATACGCCCAGCTAATAATTTTTATTTCAAAATTGAGCTGTATCAATACTCCCTTTGCTGAAACCAAGGACCAATCAGTGAGGAGGAGGGAACATCCTTATGGGGCTGTCATTTATATTGCCCCAATTTCCGGTCTCTTTAGTTTTCTCCAGCTCTGATGGATGTTTCTGTGGAGTGCAAGGGAAAGTCATCTTGGGGTGTCTTCTGTGTGGGTGATGGGAGAGGGTTAGAAGGGACGAGTATCAGGGAGTTGGAAAGGGTTTTCACTTTTGTTTCCGTGTGCTATAAGCAAAGGCTCCCAGCTGTGTTCGCCACCAATCTCTGCTTGAGGAGGAAGGACTGGCGCACACAGACAGTGGAAGCGGGCTTTGGAGGGGAACGCTGGGACAACTCCTAGCCAGGCCCAGTTACGATGAGTGACAGCGCTGTAATGGTTCAAGTGGCGTGAAGGCGTGACGCCTAGGCCACGTTCCTGTCTTTGTGACCGGGAGGGTGTGACTTTGCTGAGTCTCCATCACCAGGAGAGAACTGCAGCTCACCCTGGGCTGGAGTGAGAAGGAGATCTGTGTGGTGCACAGATCCTGTGTGTGTGTGTGTGTGTGTGTGTGTGTGTGTGTGTGTGTGTGTATGTGTGTTCTCTTTATAACACCGTGACTAAGGCTGTTTGCATTAGCTTTTGCTTTCTCCCCGTTTTCTCTTCAAGCTTGTGATGATGAATGTGTGGGGGCCTTGCTGAATGACCTGGATGCTTTTGGCGATGCTGTCCTGTCTCTGAACCTCACTGGCAGTTTCCCTGCCCCATATGGGATTTTGTCAAGTCTGGAAAATACAACTAAATATTTCCAGGTAGGTACTAGGGATGTAGAGATGGTGGAGAGAAACATCTGTCACTGAGAGAGAAGGAGTATGGGGGGGGGGTCGGTCATTTGTCTCCCCAACCTTTCAATCTCCCGTGGGTGGCCAGTGACAGTGTCCTCATCCCACACCTCACTGGGGGTTTCTGGGGAGCTCTGATGGAGTTGCTTCACAGAAACCTCCTTGGACATTCTGCCCAGGGATTTCACCCCACCTTCTGGAATTCGGCTTCAAGCTTCCTTCCTCTTTGACAGACCTTTGGGTACTTGAAAAAAAGCTGTCCAAATACAAATACTAGAAATAAATCTGGACCATATCCTCTCTAGCGCTGGTTTATGCCAAAGATGAGCTGTTTTCTGTTACATGTTGTTATCTTCAACTCGAGTCCAAGGTATAAAAATAGTCTTCCTCCTTGGAAGACTATTAACATCTCAACGCATCAATCCTCGGTTTATATTTTATCAACAGATCTGGTCAAAAGGAGAGGAAAGTTAAGAAATTGAATCAGAGACAGTACCTTTCTCTGGAATGTTAATTCTAATTGGAAAAAAAAATATTGCTGAATATACTTTTTACCTCCACATTTCAATTTAAAATAATCTGCTCCCTGTGTCATGCAGTAAGAAAAAGGATGGTCATTACTAAATAGTGTTTTACAGAGAGAAGCTTTTCTTGTGTGTGCTCAATCACTCCCCTCCTCCATACTCACACTCACACTCACACACTGGTACTGAGGAGAAGCTGATGAACACCAGGAAATATTTTTATATTATTTTTTATCAAACAGCAAAATGTGCTTTTGAAAGATAGGTGATTCTGCATTCATTAAGAAAATTCTACAAAAAAAAGAAAAGAAAAGAAGGAAGAGATACTTCAATATCTATTCTAACCATCACATAAAAAAAAAAAAAAAAAAAGAAAAGAAGGAAGAGATACTTCAATATCTATTCTAACCATCACATATATAATCAATAAATGATGTCCTCTGCCGGTTACGTCCCAGGGGTATGACTGTACTTTGAATTTATCAAGTGAAGTAAATAGTTCAGATTTTAATGAACCTTGAATGGTTTGCTCTGATGTAATCCACCCATCCATCCCCTTAACAATGCTTTGTATTCATCTCCAACACTCTCTGGAGGGCAGGAATGTGAACTGCACCCTTCCTAAATAGTAACATAACTACCTTGTGAAAGGTTTCCCTACTTAAACAAGTAAGGAGGTTAGAATGTTGGGATGGATTAAATACTTAACTATAAATAATTTTAAAGGGCTTTTCCTTATTGAATACTTTTTCATTTTGCCTAGTAAGTACTTTTCCATGTATTGAGAATTATAGTTAATATTTATAACTTTGATACTGAAATAAAGCTATATTTGGTCTATGAATGCCATCTGTTTGGAGTCTCCTTAGGAGAGCAGAGTTTGAGTTTATGTCTGTGTGAGAGCAATGTGGAAGGTGGTAGCCAGGGGTGCATTGCTGGACTTGACAGCTGGTGATGAGTGAGTTAGCCCTTTTGCTTTTAAGTAACTATTAAAAGAAAGTAGAATGTCTTTCTGTAAGCCAAAAAGCAATTAGCCCATGAGTCCCAGAAGAATGAACATTTTAATGTGATGCAGTAAACCACGTAACATTGTAAACAATGTAACACTTAATGTGATACAGTAAACAATGTAACATTGTAAACAATAACATTTAATGTGATACAGTAAACAATGTAACATTGCTTCTTTTGTTTTTCTTAGAGGTATTTATTAAAAGAAAATGCTAAGAAGATTCGGGCAGAAATCCAGCTTGAAGGGGTTGCAGAACAAACAGAAAACCTGCAAAAGGAGGTAAGTTCTCTGCAAAAAAAAAAATCCAGCTCCCCACCAGCCTCCCAGGGCAGCCCTTGGGAGCCTTTGGGTCCCATCTGGCAGGCTCCTGGAGTGTCATCAAACAATTCTAACCCCAGGAGTTCCCCTGCTGTCGTGGGAAAAGGTTCCTGACCAGATCACTGTTGCCACCCACGCTAAGGAAGAACTGGGTGGTTCACTTAGCTGCTTGTCTTCTCTCCTTAACCTAAGCGGAACTAAAAGAAGGTTATGAGTTCCTTCTTTTCCTAAATTCACTCTACTGTAGAGTTTGTGAGGCAGAGTGGCTTCAGTACTTAGTGGTCCTGTGACCTGCAGGTTTCAGGCCAGGTTGACTCTGATGGTTTTAGGTCCTAGATAGAATTAGCTCAGTTTTCATGTCAGCAGGGAATTATTTATTTTGTTTACCTCATGGCAAGGTGTGAGCCACCAAAACATTTCCTGGTTTATAGCGTGTAAGGGAGGCCTGTTGTCAAACATAGTTTATTATAGATTTCTCAATATGTTCAGACATACACAGTTGTGCATGCATAAGGAATTTGTAACCAAAGATGATTTGAAAAGAACTTGTATGTTGCAGTGTGGACTTGGGGTCCCTCATCAAGAAGATAGTGGGTAGAAAATAATCTGATTAAAATAATTTTTCTCTCATCAGGAAAGAAGATTCTCTTGGGTCTTAAGGAGAAAATGCCTGCAGGCCCATGCTTGCTCTTTTAGATTCTTTGATATTGCAATCACAATCTTCTTTTGACTTAGGAAATTCCTGAAAAGAAGTGACAGCTAAGAGCAGTTGTGTCAGTGTCAGGGCTGGGAGCTTTGGGGTCATGGCCTCACTCACACTCCTAAGGAGGTGCTGGTCACCCCCATGTTACCCATCAGGTTGGAGGTGGATAGTTCTACTGCCTGGCAGATTGGGGGGGTCTAAAGCAGTCTCCCTGACTCCTTGTTCTTACTTCACAGGAACTAAAACCTCGCAGGCAGTGAGGTTCCCCTTCCTGTAGTCAGTGTGAAATTCTGCACTATCCACTAACGTTCTGGTCTCCAATCTCATAAAAGCACAGACTGTTCAGCCACCTCTTAGCTACGCCAACAGAGTAACAAAAGGGATTGCTCATGTGTCTGCAGGAGTGCCAGTGTGTAAAGTGTAACACACTTGTGTGAAGTATATAACAGTGTGATGACAGTGAAAAAATGGTGATGCAGCCAGTTGAGGTGTTTACAATCCGACGCTTCCCCTGGTGCCAGTGGATTCCTGCTCTGCCACCAGGGTCACGCATCCCTTGTTTACTGAGTGCCTTGATTTTTATCATATTCTCGATTTAATCATATATGATTATATGCTTCATGGACCAAGGAGCAATGGGCTGCACCTTAAATGTGTGTGTATTATATACGCACACAGGTAAGTACCGTTCAGCTTAGGTGTAAGTACACAATACCTTCTGTGTGTACGGAAGCACATATAGTATCTATCTAGACAGCACCCGTATATTCCCTAAGGAGTCATTTCTCTTGTCACTCGGTGACATGTGACTGTACACGGGAGCTAATGTGAGTAGAAGGCTTTCACAACTGGACACAGGAGCATCTTGCTTTGCTAGTCTTCTAGACTGCTTATAAAAATAAACCATTTTTTCTCATGATAAGTGTCTCTTAGGTGATTTCAGGATCCCGTTAGTCACATCTGAGCCCAGAAATATTAGCCTTGGTTTGCACAATAGTGTATTTTTTTATGATCTGGATATATTTGATCACTTGAAAGAGACAACAGCTAGCATTTGGAAGCTTACGTGATAGGAAACCACACTAACCTGAGTCCTTACTGTCCTGTCAGCTCACTAGAGTCTTAACCAGCAGCCAGCAGGTGAATCAGGCAGCAGAGAGAACCGTCAATGGGACTCAAGCCCTGGCCACGTTCATTGAGCAGCTGCACACAAACATCAAAGGTAGTGTGGGGCTCTCCTTTGGGGACTGGGTGCTTGTCTGGTAGCAAGAGTCATGATCACCTTAGGAAGCAGGTGAACAGTGTTGGGCTGGGCTTCCTAATGCCAAGGGACTGAGACGCCCCATAGCACAGGGATCCTGAAGTGTCCGGGATCCCTACTATCTACCTTGAAGAGACTTACCTAGCCACAAATGTTCTTTGTAGAAATCACGACAAAGGTGGCAATGTTGAATCAGACCGCCCGTGAAGATTTCCAGCCACCCAGTTCTGCTCTTCAGAGCATGCACCAGAACATGTCTTCTTTGCTGGAGCTTACCAAGAAAAGGAATTTCACCGAGATGCACCAAAATGCTACCCTTGAACTCAAGTAAGTCCCGAGCACTGTTCAAACACCACCAATGACAAGCAGGCATTTGGATGCTGTGGAGGGGGAAATAGTGGGGAGAATGATCTCTGAGAATTAATATTGCAAGCGAGGAGAGAGGTCGGCTGTCCAGGAGATGAATAGATGGGTACCCACCACTACAAATACAGAAAACACGTCAGTGGAATCAGGGCAGTCCATCTCTGCATACTGTGCAAATAGGCTCTGTGTTCTCTGGGACTCTCAGCTTGATTTTATCTACTACAAACTGAAGAGCCTGGGGAACTGTTATTATAATCAAGTGCAGGGTGACCTGTTGAGAAGAGAATAAAGTAGGACACCCTGACCACAAACTCCGGGACAGACGGACACTATCAGAATCACAGAGCTTGGTCATGCAGACCCTCATAGAACTCCACGGGGTGCAGCCCCAGAGAATGGATGTGTGTAAACTCGGGAGCCTGTGATCTCCTGCCTGGCCTTTTCTAGGTTTTGTTTTTTGTTTTTTGTTTTCTTCCCACATGGCTGTTAGTTGACATTGTCTTTCTGTCAGGTAGCCTGAAGATCGTTTTAACCAGTTACATGAGACTCACTAACTCTGTTCCTTCTAGTGACACTTGAAGTGTTTGTAAATTTTATTACTGTAAACTATCATGGGATAGATGTCTTGGCCAAGTGTTTTCTTTTATTTTCCATATTTCTATGTGGTTTAATATTAAATATTTATACTACAAGTTCTCCCCTTCTTCCTCCTCCGTCCTCTTCCTCTCCTTCTTTGTCCTCTTCTCCCTCCTTCTCTTCTTTTTCCTTCTCCTTTGAGACAGGATCTCACTAAGTGTCCCTGCGGGCCTAGAACTTAACCATTTTCCCACGTCAGCCTCCTGAAAGCTGCGATTACAGTGTGTGCAGACACAGGTCCTGTCCTGCCTTTCTGGGTTTCAGGGTATCCTGTCACCAGAGCGGACCATAGGAACTAGATCATTTAGTCACATGATCCACACTCAGAGGCTCCCTCCTGCTCGTTTCCAGATTAGTTCCACAAGAATGTTAATGTAAAGTACTGCACACTTTCCCCCAGTGACATACACATTAGGCTTATACCTCCTTTCATCTTTTGTTTGTTTGTTTTGTTTTGTTTTGTTTTGTTTTGTTTTGTTTTGTTTTGTTTTTCGAGACAGGGTTTCTCTGCGTAGCTTTGTGCCTTTCCTGGAACTCACTTGGTAGCCCAGGCTGGCCTCGAACTCACAGGGATCTGCCTGGCTCTGCCTCCCGAGTGCTGGGATTAAAGGCGTGCGCCACCACCGCCCAGCTACCTCCTTTCGTCTTTGAATACACTTTCTGACCTGTTGCTTTGCTCAGGTGGAACTTGAAAGACTTGGTTGGATAGGGTGTGGAACGAGGTCCCGTGATACAGTCACTAGAATGTTGGTTCAGAGAGCCTGGGGAGGCCCAGAGAAAACTGAACCAAGTGCTATGAAGGCAGCAAAGTGCCAGAGCGAGTACCAAGACCACAGAGTGCCCATTTGTGGCGGCGAGCGTGGCAGCGAGCGTGGCAGCTCTGCCTTCCGCTGCTCCCCCACGTAGGAGAGAATCCTTGCCTATGCGGGAGCTATTAAAGATGCAGATTCCCGGGCTGGCAGTCCTAGAGTCTCAGAGCCATCCTGCGGGACCCCCTTCCTCACATCACCCTGCAGCGGTCAGCCCCTTGGGTCACTCAATGGAAAGGTTTGCCCCGGGTGCAAACATGATACTAGGAGTTGGGGACACTCAGAGGACACACAGCAGAGCCTTTGTGCCCAACAGAACTTCTAGACCACCAAGGAAGGCAGGGCCACCCCTTCCTCTCCCCTGTTCCCTGACCTCCCCACTGGCTGGGTCCTCTGGGACTGCCTGCCCTATAATTGCAGCCCCCTTTCTGTTTAGAATACAGTTGTCAATCAGATTCTATGTTTCTCTCTCCCATCTATAAGTGAGGCTGTGACTAAGGGGACTTTTATTAACAATGGGGGAATTCAAAGTGTATTTTCTAGCCTCCGTTTTCAAGTTTCCAAGATAATCCCTCTTCTGATGTCATGGCTTATTTTAGGAATTATTTATTATCATATTACTAATTACCATTGTTATCTGAGTCATGGCCAGTGCTTGAGTGTGGATAAACAGTTGTGGCACACACACCAGTCACTTGCACTCTACATCAGACCACTCCCACCTTCAGGGACTCCCAGGATCCCACGTGTAATTCAGTTTAGGGCCGAGATTCTTTAATGATGTGCAACCAGATGAGGAAGAGGACACAAGGAGCCTGCAGGGGTGTGTGGGGAGGAGTGCCTGTGAGGTCCCCTAGTACCTGTTGATGCAGTATGGGGGGGTGACATTTCTGCCTGAGGAGGCCATTGGAAATGCAGCATCTGTGGGTTTTCCTGGGGGTCTGTCATCCATAGCACCCATCTGAACACCAGATTCCCTGCTGGAAAGCAGGTACTTGTCTGAATCACCTTGCTTGCACAGTTGAGCCCCACTGTCCTATCAGTTAGAGATGTGTGGCACCCTTGCCCACTGGCCCTGCTGAGGACAGCAGACTGCCACTTGCTGTGGGAACTCTGCTGGGCACACTGCAGATGATCACTGGCAGCTGTGATCCCGAACCATTTTCCATGCTCCTGTCCCCAGAACTATGCGAAGATGACTTCAGTACAGAAACGTGTTCTGTGAGAGATAAGTGGGGGCCGGGGGCTGCTGCTGCATGGACTAAATGGGCCAGTCCTTCATTATGGTCTTCCCATGTCAGTATCCTGACGTTCACGGAGAATTTCCAGGGACTGGGAGAACTGAGGATAGACCTAAGTCTACTGTTCTTGTGGAATCTGCTTAATGATCCATGGGATTACAAAGAAGAGCAGTCCATGGAAAACTACTTATTCTGTTCAACTTTGCAAGACACCAAGAGTATGGCCTTGTCTGTCCTGTTCAC